TAGACAATCAAGTCATGTAAGATATAACCTCCACTTTTGTAGTGTAAACCTGTGGTTATTTATGACCATGCTGTATCTTTGACATTCTAATTTTATGGTTTCTCTGTAGTTGTGTAATATACAAACTCCCAGAGTATCACAAACACATAGCACGGCCACCACCAGGGGTGAAATTTCCAACGAAGGTAATAACTTGTTCTCATATATTGAATCTAAATTGCTACTGCCAGTATATTTGCTTCAATTTAGTAGATGTTTCTTTTAAATTAGTGATTGCTTTATGAACTGTTAAATATCATTAGTAAATTCGCAGAGTTATGCTCTGCACCTGAGTGAATGGTTCCCCTTCTTTTCATTCGGCTTTCTTTGGGCCCTGAAAAGCTCTTGTGAAGAACAGTTCTGTCCACATTTTAGTAACTTCAGATATTCCAAGCAACCAAAATGTTTCATCAGCCTGCTTGCCCTTTGAATTATGTTTTGTACATGCTTTTAGCATTTCTATGTCTGAGACATTGTGGAGGCTTATAAACTCCACCTCCTCAGTGTTTCTTTGCTTTACAAGTTGGGTATGAAACAATTGTGGCAATATTTAATGTTAGTGAAAGATTATGCCTTCATTTAAACTTGAAGAGTGAGCATTTACCCAAGTTCAGGTCAGTATGAAGGGGAGTGAATCTCTAGCTTCAACAAAATTACTATTATTCTGATCAACCTGGCTTCCCTTGGTTTTGACTTCTGATGAGCAACTTGAAATTGTATTGTGTTAAAAGTGGGTTGGGTTTAGAGTCCCGCTTGGACCTTCCTCAGATGCTTGCCACTTTGCCAGTCTTTAATTTTACATCTTGACTGTGTACATTGTAATCATGAATCCGGTTATGGTTCTTTCAATTTTCTTCTTTTCTGGTGCCGCAGGAGCATCCTTTTCTGTAATATCCAGCCAATTCTGAGAGTTAATATTATCCTTCCTGAATGAAGCATTCAATTTTTTCTTGTACTGCCCTTTTTAAGTTTGATTTTGTATAGGTTGCTAAATTTACCGTTCACTGTTCTTGTAGCTGGTAGTCTGCATCTATTCCTTTTTAGTTGGTGTTGTTGATTGTATGGTTATATCTTCCCTAGATTTTACTTCGGGGTCTGGGGTGGATAATGATATTTCCATGTTTTTGACAAGTCATGGGCTCCTTATTTCTGTACTCAAGTACAATGATCTGTGTTTCATTAAATCCTCACATGTGTGACTTGCAATCTCTTGTTTGCATTCTGGCTAACAGCTTCCCTCTGCCTTTTTTTGGCTGCTAATTGTCCCTTCTTTCTGTGGCTCACATAAATTTTATGGCAGATTGTCTCAATGGGAGATTTAAAAGAACCTGTCTTATGGCATGAGGATAATGGAAGAAGGCATATGGATAATGGAAGAAGGCATATGGATAATGGTAGAAGGCATATGGATAATGGAAGAAGGCATATGGATAATGTAGGGCGGCATACGGACAGTCAAAGGTATACTTTTTAATCTCCCTCCTAATAATTTAGTCTGAAGGTGGAAAATTTGGATCCATAAGGTATGCCTTCATATTTCTGTCTGTTCTGTGCAGGTCAAACCCCCCTGGGAGCATATCTGGTCGTCAGCTCGGAGAGGCAGCACATCGTCTGGTGATTAATAGTTTATCAGTGAGGGCAGATCAGAGTGGATATGCCAGAGCTCCAGCTTATGCAACTGCCTCTGCCGCATATGGACCTGTCAACCCACATCCAGGTAACAGTTACTATGGTCAGGAACACAGTGGGATAGTACCGCCTCTTAGAGCAGCCTATCCGGGCCCTGGACATCAGCGACCTCCTGGCGTTGCACAAATCCATCACAGTCGGCCATACAGTTCATCTGCTTCCCGCCCCCACCATGGTGCAAGAGGTAATCTTTCAGCTCCCGTTCAGGGATATTATCCCCCTGGACCTCATCAAAATGGGTCTCAGTACTCTCCTGCTGGGCCTGTAGCTCCTGTTGTACCAGGAGCCTACCATCATCAGAGTGGGCAAAGCTACGGTGTTGGTGGCTATAATCAGTGGGGTGGGCGCCCCCAGTCTCACAATGCTGGTAGAGGGGGTGGTAGAGGATATGGTAATAGTTCTCAACAAGGAGGAAACCGTTACTCTGCATTCGAAAGAGGATCAAGTCGTAGGCCACCATCTAGTCGTGGCCGGTAGTAAAACTACTAGAATTTGAGCTAAAGATGTCTGAGATAGGTAAAGCTGTAAAATATGCAATTTTGGATTATAGCATTCTGTAGCATTCTTTCAGCTTCATATTCGTGTAATTTTTCCTCCCTCATTTTTTAGAGTTTTAAACATACAGGCGGTTTTCCTTTGTCATAGTTGTATTGTATTTATTGTTGTACAATATCATCTGCCAATCTTGGCCATAAAAAATTGAAGCAGAAGTATTTATTTCAGGAAAGTATAACTGCATATCTTCTTTACGGAGTAACTCTTTATCTTAATGTTGATATGGGAACAATCGTTATTCATATGGTGAGACTTGGTTGTTTCTTGTGGTGCCTTTGATAGGAGGGAGACCCAGTAAAATTGTCATTTTCGCAATAAAGTGAAGGGTAAATTTGTAAATCCATCCTCTTTCTTCTTCCTTTATCTCCTTCTTCCTCCTGTGAACATCATCAAAACCACATCTCCTTTCTCCTTCGATCCACAACCTGAAATTGACCACCGCCTTCATCTCTTACCTGCAAACCCACTACCACCTTCATCTTCTTCCCATGAGCCAACTAGTGACCACCATCTTCATCTTCCTCCTGCGAACCCACACCGACATTAACGGCAGCTTAACGAAAACCCTATGGAAAATATAGTAATTTAGGGCATGGATAACCCTTACAGGGTAAGTGAGCTTTCTCCATTGAAGATGAGCTTTCATTTCTAGAATTGGATGTGAGCTTTCTCCAATAATGGTGGAGAAAAAAAAAAAAAAAAAAAAAAAAAAAAAAAAAAAAAATTATGTGAAGTAGTTGCCCGGTGTATTGTTGCATGAATATCACAGCAATTATTTACCTAATTGCCACAAGATAAACATATAAAGTTCATCTTAAGTGATAAATTTGGAATTCCTCCTTTGATAGTTGTAGGCTTGTAGCGATAAGTTCTGCAGAGTTGACTGTTGTATCATGGCATGTGGGCCTAATTGTTTGAATGTTATGGTATGTAAGCAATTATAAAATCTTCTAATTACAATTACGATTAAACCAAGGATTTTGCAATAATATAACTAGTTAAAATATGTATAGTTAGGAAACGTTAATTGGAGTTCAAATTTAAATGTTATTGGCATTATACATTGTTTAGGGTGTAAAACGGGGTCTTGATGATTATGGTGTGACCATTCGTTTTGCATATTTGGCATAACTCACACACCACTGCTTCAAACTTGACGCGAGCAGTGATTTACGATGTTTTCGCATCTTTCCAAGTAGAGACCTTCGCAATCTGCGCTAGTGTTTTGATCGTAGAGTTGATGATAAATCCTAAACCTTTATGAATCTAAGTCACCTTCCTAATTATTAATACTCTAAAAATAAAATTCTCATCCATAGATGAGATTCAAAATCCCAGAAAAATTGGGACATACTCTCACAAATGGAGAGAACAAAGCAAAGCAAAGAAAAAGGCAAGACAAAGCAAAAACTAAATTAAATCAAATAATAAGGGTAGAAAATAGTCTAATTTCCGAAGAAATTAAATTATTTTTGGCGTAAACAACTAAGAAAATTGAAACCCTAAAAGTAGAGAGAGGAGAGAGAAGAGAGAAAAGGGAAAAGAGGGCACGAGTTTTGCTTGATTTTTTTTAATTTTTTTTTCTTACATAGAACTCGTACTTAAGATAAGATATTCTTGTAGTTTTGTGTGATAAAAATTACATAGAAAAGGGAAAGGGGGCACAGATTTGCTTGATTTTTACTTCTAATATAGTACTCGTACTTAAGATAAGATGCTCTTGTCCTGTAAAAAAAAAAAAAAAAAAAGATAAGGTGCTATTTTTTTTTATTTTTTTTTTGGTTTTGTTGAACGAAGATTTTGTTACTCTTCGTTGGATTGTGTACGGATGTGCAAGATGAACCCCAAGCCTTGGGGTGGTCCTTGGGGTGGAGCTTTTGATGTCCAAGTTAATGCTCAAACAATGTATGATTTGAGAGTATGTAAAGGAGAGATAGTGGGCATTGGTCCTCTTTTTGTGGCAAGAGAATGACCATGAATGAACCTTGGTCCTCAAGGAATATATATAATGACCATGAATGTAGGCAATGTTCAAATGTTGGGCCAAGTATTTGACCTCTTTCGGCCATGAGCCCATCGTACTTATGTGGCCATATTAGTTCAGACTAATAAAATGAATATGTCCATTTTAGTACTCAAATAAAAATGCAAAAAGTTCCATTTGATTACTACATTTTTTATTTTGATCCAAGGGAGGAGTAAATCCAAGCAAAAGAAAACAAGAGAGCAAAGTAAGAAAAAGAAAAGAAAGAAAGCAGAAAAGAAAACAGAACCTCAGCTAAGGTCGCAAGCCTATAGCGTAACTAGGCGACGCCTAGCTACTCCTCTTGCATCCTCATCTAAGATTCTCCCTAGTTCTAAAGGAATTAAATTTACAATACAAAAATTAGTCTTGCAAAACTCCACGGTTGGCCAACCAATTAGCCACTCGATTTCCTTCCCTATAGATGTGAGCCACCTTTACTACCCAACTGTCATTTCGAAGCATACGTAGACACTCTTTGATCTCATGTATATTTTCTCCTCCACTAGCTTCTCCTTTCTGCAAAATTTGAACACAAGCCAAGTTGTCTAATTGCACTTCAAGTTTCTTGATTTGAAGAATCTGCGCAAGTTGTAAACCTTTAACAAGCGCTAAGATCTCAGCTCGCATTGCCGTGCATCTACCAAAGTTAGCTGTGAAGCCCGAGATAAAACGTCCCTCGTGATTGCGAATGATGCCACCAACACCTGCTGGACCAAGACACCCTTTGGCTGCTCCGTCACAATTAAGGACATATTCATCCAAGGCAGGGGGATGCCAAGAGATATTTGCTATAACTTGCTTCCTTGGTGGATGGTCTGGGCTAGGAACTGATGTATTCATTATATATAGTATTTTATTCCCGTCCCGTGATCATATTTAGGAGTATTTTTGGCTCTTTAGAGCCAATTTTATTACTAATGCGCGTTTTCTAGTGTTTTCGTAGTTGTGGCATTATTTTACAGGAAATTACAGATTTGGTGCATTTCCCGGCATTTAGTGGAGCCACCGCGAGCATTGGAGTTGAAACGTATTTATATGATCGTGTTTCGAAGCCTAAGACCGTAATTGATGATTCAATCCGGTGATTAAGGGCTCAATGAGGAGATTTGGAGCTTGGGCAATTCGATCCAAGAAGGATGACGAATTGGGCTAAGGTAACAAGGCCCAAAGGACGAAGAAGAGTAAGCCCAAGCATCCGCCCGACCGGGCAGTGCCCTCGCCCTGAGGCTCGCCCGGCCGGGCGAGAGGAGAAGGCCCGGGCACGTTTCGCCTGGATGCGTGCCCGACCGGGCGCGAGGAAGCTTCAGGACACACAAAAGGCGCGCCTGGCCGGGCGACCCTTTGCCCGACCGGGCGCGTGTTTCTGAAGGGAATTTTTTCATTTATTCTTTTTGTAATTTTTATTTTTTGGATTATTTTAGTAGGAGTATAAATACGATTTTTAGTGAACAATTAAGCAAGCTTTTTACGTTTTCATTAGTATTAGCTAGTATTATTTTCTCGAAGATTAGATTTTCAGCTTTTCATTGTCCTTGAGTACTTTCTCTCTCTAAACCTTTTGATCAATAAATTCCATATTTTCCGTTAATTCTTGGTACGATTTCTTACTTACTTTATTTTCTGCAATTTAATTAATTTGTTATTTTCATGCATTCTTTGATTATCATGTCTAGTTTAGATTCAATTATGTCAGAGTAGATTTCTATTCTAGGGTTGTGGGGATCCATGAATAATACGAAGGGGTAAATTATTATTATTTATGATTGATTAATTTCCTATTGATTGATTTAATGCTGTGCAATTAGATTAGGCCTGGTTTAATTGTATGAGTTTTGCAATATTGATTCGAGATTCGAGAGATGAGAATTGATGTTTAGGCTTAGTTTCAATAGGCATGTTAATCTATTAATGGTTAGTTCGAGATTCGAGAGATAAGATTTAATACCAATAGATTAATTATGTGATTATAATACGTAGCGACAACCCTTTATAATCTGATTAATTTATGCATTGATAATTGATTGTATGTTTTACCCTGGAGTATTATTTATTGGTGAACCTATACCCTAGAGCTTTTTATTATTGATTATTCCCTTAGTTTTATTTGCTTAGTTTATTATTAGTTTAATTCACACAAACACAATTTGGTTACTTAATAATTTAGATTATAATTATTGATTAGGAATAAAATAACATTGTTTCCCTGTGGATTCGACCCTACTTCCCTATCTACTTTAGTTAGAGGACTTAGGAATTGCTTTTGATTAGGTGATACGACTAGATCTTGTCAAAATTTGGCGCCGTTGCCGGGGAAACGGTTTTATTTTTATTTCTGATTATTTTTGCAGTCTAAACTATTTTCTTTCGTCTCAAAGAACGCAAGTTCTTTGGGACAGTTTCTCATACTTGTTTGTTTAGTTATGTGTTTATGCCCAGGAGTTCTAGATCAGGTTACATTCCGTTTGACCCTGAGATTGAACGTTCCTTTCATAGACAGAAGAACCTTTTTAGACAGGTACGAGCTACTTCTGAGGGTACTATACCTTTGGAACCACCATCTGATTTTAGTGATACAGAAGTTTATTCAGAACTAGAAGCAGAGATGACGCACCAACCACCTCGCAAGCTCGGCGATTATTCGCAGCCGTCCTTAGCAGATTTCCCACATCTTACTCCTCCACATGCCCTCGAAGGAGTACAATTTGAAATCAAGCCCCAGTTTATTACTATGATTGAAAGGAAGCAATTTAGCGGAGCTAAGGGTGAAGATCCAAATCTTCATATTTTAGATTTCTGCCAGTATTGCAATACTATTAGGCAAAATGGGGTCACGCAGGACCAAATCAGGGAGATTCTTTTTCCCTTTTCTTTGTGTGGAAAAGCTAAATTGTGGTATAATGGATTGAATAGAGTTGCTCTTGGTATTACTAACTGGGATACTCTTGCTTTGAATTTCTATAATAAATATTACCCTGCAGAGAGAACAGCTCTACTACGGAGTTCAATCACAAATTTTTCCCAAGAGGTTGATGAAAGTTTATATGAGGCTTGGGAAAGATTCAAGGATCTGCAGAGAGAGTTCCCACACCATGGGATGCAACAATGGCAGCTTATTCAAGCCTTCTACAACGGGTTTGGAAATTCTTCCAGATCAATCCTTGATTCGGCAGCTAATGGGAGATTTATGAATCTGAATGAAGATATAGCAGGAACGGTTATTGAAGAGATGGAAATACACAAATCCCAATATGGGAATCCTAGAGGTTTTTCCAATAAGGGGAAGCATAGTGTTGATTCAGTATCCTTTATTCAGGCTCAATTAACCTCTATTTGTCAGAAACTTGATAATCTTAGTACTATTATTCCTGCTCCCGTAGCTAATGTTTCTGCTGTGAATAATTCTAATGAATTTTTTTGTGATAATTGTGGTATTGTAGGTCATTGGGCACAAGATTGCAGGAGTTCCATGGAGCAAGTTAATGCCTTTCAGACCTATAGGAAAAATAACCCATACTCCAACACCTACAATCCTGGCTTCAGGAATCATCCATATCTTTCCTACCGATGTACAAATGTCCAAAACCCTCTACCTCCACAACAACCACAACCCAACCCCAACCATCACAGCAACCACAACAAAAATACTACCAACCACCTAACCAAAGAGCCTCACCTCAAACACCTCCTCCATCTTCTGATCCTACATTATCAGAAATTAAAACCATGTTGGCTAGTACGCAAAAGCACATGCAGAGTAGAGATGCACAAATTGATTCCTTAGTAGCCCATAATAAAATCATTGACAATCAAATTGCGCAACTTTCTGCTACTCTACAAAATCGCCAACAAGGAACCCTGCCATCACAGCCAGTACAACCCACAGATCATGCTAATGCAATTACTCTGAGGAGTGGTGCACATTATGATGGGCCTCCTATGCCCCCTGATGATGAAATTGTCATATCTAATAATGTTAGCTCTGATTCTGCAGGGTTAAATAACTTTGTTACTAGCCCTGCAGAGTTGCAGAGTAAATCTAGTACTTCAACTGATAATACCTTGCAGGGAAAAACTAACTCTTCTCTTGATAATGCAATGCAGGGTAATACTAAACCCAAAGCTGGAGATGAAGGGAAACCTGTTATCAAACTACCATCCCCCAACAGACATTTAAAGATAAAGTTGGACAAGCCATTTGGTAAGTTTTTGGAGGTAGTGAAAAATTTGCAGGTAACTGTCCCTTTCACAGAATTAATTACACAAGTTCCTGCATATGCTAAATTTATGAAAGATATTTTGACTAGGAAAAGGGCTTTTAATGAGGTAGAGACTTTAGCTTTCACAGAAGAATGTAGTTCTTTACTACAAAATAAATCTCCACCAAAATTAAAGGACCCTGGAAGTTTTTCTATACCTTGTCATATTGGTAATGTATTCATAGATAAAGCTTTATGTGATTTGGGTGCCAGTGTTAGTGTCATGCCATCGTCTATTTGTGCAAAACTTAATATGGGTGATTTGAAAGTGACTAACATTACCCTACAAATGGCAGATCGTTCTGTTAAATATCCCTTAGGTATTTTAGAGGATGTTCCTGTTAGAGTGGGAAAATTTTATATCCCTATTGATTTTGTAGTTTTGGACATGGCTGAGGATACGCAAATTCCTATAATTTTAGGGAGACCTTTTCTCCACACTGCTGGAGCCATTATTGATGTGAAAAAATGGAAAACTAGCCCTTTTTGTAGGAGATGATAATATTACTTTTAATTTAGGGAAGGTTTTAAAAGGTCCTATGATTAAGGAAGATTGTTGTAGTATTGAAGTTATTGATGTGATTGACATTATTTGTGAAGATAGCTTACCACAGGTTCTTGCAAGAGATTCCTTGGAGGAAGTACTTTGTGGTGATTTTACTACAGGTGATGCTGGCATATGGAGCAAAGAGGTGGATGCTATAGAGGTAACTCTCTCCCTTGAAGAGCTTAGCCCTAAAGAAAATTTGAAGGTAGAAAAATTGGTTCAGGAATCAAAACCTGCAGAGGTAAAGAAACCTGAATTAAAACCTCTTCCTTCTCATTTAAAATATGTTTTTCTTGATGAGCAGGAATTACACCCAGTGATCATTAGTACTGCACTTGATGACCCACAGATTTCTCAACTCTTAACGGTTCTTAGAACTCACAAAAGGGCAATCGGGTACAGTATTGATGATCTGAAGGGTATTAGCCCTGAATTTTGTATGCACAGGATACACTTAAAGGAGAAACACAAGCCATGTATTCAACCCCAGTGAAGGTTGAATCATAATATGCAAGAAGTAGTCAAGAAAGAGGTGATGAAATTACTTGATGCAGGTATTATTTATCCTATTTCTGATTCAAAGTGGGTCAGTCCTGTGCAGGTAGTACCTAAGAAGGGTGGGATGACAGTAATAAAAAGTGATAAGAATGAATTAATTCCCACTAGAACAGTGACAGGTGGCGTATGTGTATTGATTATCGTAGATTAAATATAGCCACTAAGAAGGATCATTTTCCCTTACCCTTCATTGACCAAATGCTTGAAAGGTTAGCCAATCATAAGTTCTTTTGCTATTTAGATGGGTACTTTGGATTTTTCCAAATTCCAATTCACCCTGATGATCAGGAAAAGACTACATTTACTTGTCCCTATGGTACTTTTGCTTATCGTAGGATGCCATTTGGCCTATGTAATGCCTCAGCTACTTTTCAACGTTGTATGATGAACAACTTTTCTGAATTCATAGAGTCTATCATGGAAGTTTTTATGGATGATTTTAGTGTATATGGTTCTTCATTTGATGCATGCTTAATTAATCTCACTAAAATATTGAAAAGATGTGTAGAATGCAATTTGGTTTTGAATTGGGAAAAGTGTCACTTTATGGTGACAGAGGGAGTAGTTCTTGGTCATATCGTATCTGATAAGGGTATACAAGTTGATAAAGCTAAGATTTCTGTGATTGAACAATTGCCTCCACCAGTTAATGTTAAGGGGGTTAGAAGTTTCTTAGGTCATGCGGGATTTTATCGCCGTTTCATCAAAGATTTTTCTAAAATTGCTAAACCACTAACTCAGCTTTTGTTGAAGGATGCCCCTTTTGATTTTACTAATGAGTGTCTTGAGGCTTTTAACAGGATTAAGCAGGCTCTAATATCGGCACCTATCATATGTGCTCCCGATTGGAATTTGCCTTTTGAGATTATGTGTGATGCCAGTGATTTTGCAGTTGGAGCCGTGCTAGGACAGAGAAAGAACAAAGTTCTACATGCTATTTATTATGCTAGTAAAACTTTGGATGAAGCCCAAGTCAATTATGCTACCACAGAGAAGGAGTTTCTTGCTGTTATATATGCTTTAGAAAAATTTAGATCATATCTAGTTGGTTCTAAAATAATTGTTTTTACTGATCATGCAGCTCTGAAATATCTGATTGCCAAGGCAGAAACATATCCTAGGCTTCTCCGTTGGGTTCTCTTGCTCCAAGATTTTGATGTAGAAATAAAAGATAAAAAGGGAGCAGAGAATGTTGTAGCAGATCACTTGTCTAGGATCAGGTATGATGATGGTAAAGATTCTCTCCCTATAGATGATTCCTTCCCTGATGATCACTTATTCTCAGTTGTAGAGCAACACCCTTGGTATGCAGATTATGCTAATTTTTTAGTGGGTGGTACTCTACCTCCTGACTTGTCTTATCAACTTAAAAAGAAATTCCTTTATGATGTTAAACATTATTTTTGGGATGATCCTTTTTTGTTTAGAGAGTGTGCAGATGGTTTGTTTCGCAGGTGTGTTCCCGAATGGGAAGTCCACCGGAGTACTCACTAGCTGCCACAACTCCCCCTATGGTGGACATCATGGCCCTGCTAAGACAGTCGCCAAGATAAACGAGTCAGCATTTTATTGGCCTACCATGTTCAAGGATGCTCAAGCCTTTGTCATAGCTTGTGATTCTTGCCAGAGGACTGGTAACATCTCGCGGCGGCATGAGATGCCCCAAACAGGTATCTTAGAAGTTGAAATTTTTGATGTTTGGGGTATTGATTATATGGGTTCTTTTCCCTCCTCAAAAGGGAATCGTTATATACTTGTTGACGTTGATTATGTCTCTAAGTGGGTAGAAGCCATTGCCACACCCACCAATGATTCCAAAGTGGTTCACAAATTATTCAAGAAAATCATCTTTCCTAGATTTGGAGTCCCTAGAGCCGTAATTAGTGATGGAGGATCTCACTTTCATGAGAGGAAGTTAGACACCCTTCTGAAAAAGTACGGAGTATACCATAGGACATGTTTAGCTTACCATCCCCAAACTAGTGGGCAAGTAGAGGCTTCAAACCGTGAAATTAAAGCTATTCTGCAGAAAGTGGTAGCAATGTCTAGGAAGGATTGGAGTGATAAGTTAGATGACACCCTTTGGGCATATAGAACCGCATTTAAGACCCCTATTGGTACTTCTCCCTATAAACTAGTGTATGGAAAATCATGTCACCTCCTAGTTGAATTAGAGTATAAGGCTTATTGGGCAATCAAATAGCTTAATTTAGATGCTAAGCTAGCGGGAGAGAAAAGGTTACTTCAACTTAACCAGTTAGATGTGTTTAGTTTGCAGGCCTATGATAGTGCACGTGTCTATAAGGAGAAAACCAAGAAATGGCATGACAAGATGATCCTTCCGAGAGAATTTAAAGAGGGCGATAAGGTTTTGCTATTCAACTCTAGGCTTAAACTATTCCCAGGAAAGTTAAAGTCCAGGTGGTCGGGCCCTTTCATTGTCAAAAGGGCAAATAAATTCGGTTCTGTAGAATTATATGATGGAGCAGGTGGAGATTTCAAAGTGAATGGCCAACGTCTGAAACTGTATCACGACGGGGCTACGATAGGTGCAGTTGAATTACTACACCTAACCGATCTCTCCTCATCTTGATTAACATATGGTAGGACGTTCGTGCGGGACCTTGATAAACCAGCGCTTTGTGGGAGGCAACCCGTATTTTTCTCTTTTTTTTCCCTTTAATCTTTTATTTTTTACTTTTTTTTGGAGAGGACGAGAGAGGGAACTAACATATTTTAGAGTATTTTTACGCAGGTTGGAGAACAAAGAGTTAGCCAAAAATTTGAGAAAATAAGAAAAGTTGACATACGGAAATTTTAGCCTCGCGCCCGACCGGGCGCGGGAGCATTACGTATACGTCAAAAATTTGCCCGACCGAGCGCGAGAGAAAGAATTTTTTTTTTAACTCGCCCGATCAGGCGAACATCCGCCCGACCGGGCGCGAGAATGTACTCTCATGAAGAATCAAGATCGCCCGACCGGGCGAGAGGTCGCCCGGCCGGGCGCGCCTCTATTTCTTCGGATTCACTTTCTTTTCTCCTTTCTTTCTTCCTTCTTACTCCTTCCTCCATTGCTTTCTCCCTCTAAAACTCCATTTTTCTCTAACTTCTCTCTACGTTTTTTCCTTCATCCCCTATCCAAATCTTAAGTTTTTCCCATCATTATACTCCCCTCTTCATCCCCTACATTCCTATACTGATATTATTACTTTTGAAGGGTTCAACAATCACAATTTTTCCATGTTCAAGAGACAAAGAAGCGTTCACGGTTCAGGGTCGGGTTCGGAATCGGGCCAAGGAGTTTAGTACGATCCGGAGCTCCAACTTCCGGATTTGTGGCCAACCATTCGGATTACTACATCCGATCAGCATGACCATTTGCCGGACGTGAGGTAATTTCTTCCCGGTGGTTACACCGGGACACTCTTAAGAAATTAGGCTTGTATGATCATGTTAAACAATTCATGGCTGATATAGGTATGCGAAAATTTGTTGATATGTACTACCCGACATATAGGGAGTTGACATGTGAATTTCTTTCATCCCTTAATGTAGTACAATCTAGGAATGGTCCAATTCTACATTTTCGATTAAACAACAGAAATATTAGTTTAAATTATGTAGAATTTGCCGAACTGTTTAAACTGGATTCCTCTCCCCTTACTGAATGGAGTGAAGAGTATAAGGCAAATGATATTTATTTTTCTCTAACGGGCAAAAACTGCCCTAATTCGCAGCATGCCAGTACTCTTCCATTTCATCACCCCGTCCCTAAAATTTTTCACAAATTTTCAGGGACCTGTTTTCTGGGACGTCACGAACCCCACAATGCTCAAACTAACGAATTAGCTATCCTAGGGCATTATGTTTTTGGTTATGGACGATTGAACATCTCCTGTTATATTATTCATCACCTGAGTAGGCACGCTAATGCCTGTAGCAATAATGCTAAAACCCCCATTCACATTGGCGGCCTTATCACTAGGATAGCCCTTAAAAAGGCTGGGTTCAGTGAGTCTAAGTATGCAGGGATTACTAACTGTGGGGGGGGGGAATATCAGATAAACCTGTCATACATGCAATTTCTAAACTGGATTAAAACCAGTCGTAACCAAGTTTCAGAGTGGTTAGTCAGAGTCGACAGGGAGTACATCCCTGTTTTCCCCCTCCCTAACCCTGAGTTGACAGCCTTTCCCCCTGGGCAAGAGTCGTATACCTACGACATTCTACTTGCTCACGCACAGGGTTTGTCCCAGCGTCCACCACGTGCTTCACCTCGTCCACCATCACCTCCACAACCTCACTATGAGGCACCACCACCTCCACCTCACGTACCTCAACCTAGGCCACCACCTGTCCCTACCTCATAGACCATTTGGGATATGCAGATTATAGGTCAGGCCATAGGTAGGGTAGAAAGGGAGCAGGGAGACCTTAGGAGAATGGTAGGGTCTATTGATAGGAGGTTGGGGTACGTAGAGAGGAACCAGGGTAGAGCCCTATTTCCTATGTATGATGACTATGCTCGTTGGGGTGATATTCCTGACAGTGTAGTTCGTCCTAACTGGTACCAGACTCCACCCCAGGGATATGTGGATCCCACTACACATGGTACATACTTTGACTATTCCACATATACCGGGTACGACCAGGATTTTCCCTCTGGGGGGTTAGGGGGGGATGTTCACCCTAACTATTTTGGTGGTAGTTCTTCTGGTGGTGCAGGTGGCAGTGGCGGTGAGTCTGGCCAAATGGATGAGGATGGTGATGATTAGTCACGCTTGGCTAATTCCCGAGTCAATGAGGACATTGTCTGATTCTGGCTTGGGGGAGATTTTGGATATAGGTATATTTTATTTTCTTTATTTTATTTTATTTTATTTTTGTGTGTGCTTTAGTATAGTTTTTATTGCTTTCTAGGGTAGATTTACTGCTTTAAAAAAAATATATATAAAAATACAAAAATACGAACCAATGAATGATAAATCATGCTCCCTTGTGCCCCATACATGAAGATGGCTTTGATTCTTGGTATTTGATGATGAGTATTGTGGATAGGTTAGTCATGATTTGATGTTTAATTGCTTTGATGTCTTAACATGAGTCAATTTTATCCAACTGCTTGTGAATATAGTGCTTGACTAGTTGATTTGGTTAGGAATGTGTTTTAGTTCCTGGTATGTCAATGAAGTTGAGTATTGGTTTATAACTCTGAGTAGTATTTGTATGACTCATTATTATGCACAATGAGGAGGACGAAGGCATTTGTTCTTTTAGGTGGCCTTTAGATGATTTTAGATATATTTGTTCCCTTCTTGCTACCCATGTTGTTGCCTTGACTGTTTATTGTTTATTAACCACATTACAAGCCTATTTTGCCCCATTGGTTACTAGTCCCGAGCTTGGCTTGGGGGAGCTATTAGTGAGTGAGGGGAGGGACTTTGTAGTGTGCATATTTATTTGCACAATTTTGGGTGGGCTTGAGAAGTTTTTATTTGTTCTTATTTTTATAGATTGGAATAAATATTGAAAAATTGTTGTTCAAAGTGAAAAATTCCAAGTGAGTACAAAGAAAAAAAAAAGAGCAAAAGAAAAAAAAAATTGTTTTGATGCTCAAGTGTTTTAATGAAGGTGTAGGCTGAATTAGTTTACGCCACACCATCCTCGCAGCAGGGCAGTCACGAAGGGTGTGGAGTGTAGACTCTTCACGTGTACCACATATATGGCATGCAAGGGAGTCAATGAGATTGTGCTTGAATAAACTCAGGTTGCAAAGCACACGATTATGACAAACAAGCCAAAGAAATGCTCGTATCCTCTATTGTATGGGTGCTTTCCAAACTAGATCCCAACAGCTTTCATCAAGAGAGTCACTCTCCTGTCTCATGATTCTCAGAGCGGATTTAATCGTAAATCTTCCCTTTGAATCACCTTTCCAATAAACCAAATCACCTATATTTGGATCAATTTTGAGCTCATGATTTTGTATTAGCTTGAGAGTGTCTTGTGGAAGAAACGGTGCAAAAATATTCCATCTCCAGCCACTATTGTCTTCCCACATTTCAGCCACTGTTGCTCCAGCCAATTCAAGAGGGATTGGTTGCGTAGCCAAATTGCTTAGAGGCTCATCCCCCACCCATTTATGATCCCAAAACAAGGTATTATGGTCGTTACTCACTGCAATTTGCATACCCTCTCCAAGAAGTTTAGCATTGTCAGTGATTCCGCTATATACATTCGACATATCTCTTTTTGGCTCAAACATATCTATATCACATCTCCCTTTGCAATACTTGGCACGCAACACCCTTGACCACAGGGAGTTAGGTTCAGTGAGTACCCTCCAGCCTAATTTTGTGAGAAAGGATGCATTAGCTTGTTTGGCTGAGTAAATGCCAATGCCTCCATGAGCTTTCGGCTTTTGGAGGGTGTCCCAAGCAAGGATATGAATCTTACGCATATCTTCATTGCCACCCCAAATGAACCTCCTTACTTTTATGTCTATGTCATCACAGATTGTACGAGGCACCTTGGCAGTTTGCATTGAATAGAAGGACATGGTAGATAAGGTGGATTTAGCCAAAGTAATACATCTAGCTAAGGATAAGTATTTGGTCTTCCACCCTGCTAATCGTCTATCTATCTTCTCACATAGGTGACTGTAGGTACCTTTGGTAACTCTGCTTGTGAGAGTAGGCATGCCTAGATATAGGCCAAGGTCCGTCGCTGTCTCCATTCTCAAGGTTGCTGCTATCTCTTGTTGCATCCCCTACTCTACATTATTTGAGAAAAAAACATGAGATTTCGGCAAGCTTACTTTCTGCCCTGAAGCTTAACAAAAACGTTCCAAACAAGCTTGTATCAAGCATGCTTGATCCACAGTGGCTTCCGCAAAAAGTACAATATCATCCACAAAAAATAAATTTGAGAGTAAGGGTCCATCCCTGCTTGCTCGAATTGGTTTCCAATAGCCATTCACAATAGCCGCCTCTATAACCTGATAAAGACGTTCCATACACATCACAAATATATATATGGAGATAAGGGGTCTCCTTGTCGAACACCCCGGCTTGGTTTGAAGCTATTAGAGGGCTCGCCATTCCAAAGAATTTGAAGAGATGTTGTGGTAATACACTCCATAATTACCTCAATCATGGTGATAGGTAAGTTCATTTTCACTAAGGTATCACGGATAAACGACCACCGAAGCCTATCATAGGCTTTTTCAAAATCGATTTTGATTGCCATGTAACCTTTCTTTCCTTGCTTTCTTCTCATGGTGTGTAAAACTTCTTGCATAATCACAATGTTGTCAATTATTTGCCTGCCCGGGACAAAGCTTGATTGAGTGTTTGAGATCAAGTTAGGAAGAATCGGTTTAATTTGATTGACTAAGACCTTTGTGACAATCTTATAGGCAACATTACATAGCCCTATAGGACGAAACTGAGAGGTCAGTTCAGATTTCTCAAGCTTCGGAATGAGAGCAATGAAAGTGTCATTAAAATTCTCAGGCATACCCTTCCCTTCAAGAATCGGGAGTATTGTATCATATACAGATTGTGCTACAAGTTCCGAATTCTTTTGGTAGAATAGAGCTTGAAATCCATCGGGACCCGGAGCCTTAAGAGCAGCCATGTCTTTTACCATAGTGTCAATCTCAGTACATGAATAAGGCCGAGTAAGAAGCCTCCATTGTTCTAGTGGGAGTTCCGGAAAAACATCCTGTGGCACATCAAAACGAATAGGTTCACCTTCATCTGTAAAGAGTTGCGAGAAATAGTTCACTATATGCTCTTTGATTAATTCTTTGTCTTGTAGCCATTCCCCATAATTCCCTTTTATAGCCACGATACGATTTTTCCACCTACGAACAATGGTAGTAAGTGGAAAAAAGTCGTATTTTTGTCCCCATCCTTTAACCAATCAATTCGAGACTTTTGGTACCACAAGGTTTCTTCTCTGGATAAAACTTCATCTAGCTCGCGACGAAGTTTATTTTCCAGTTTGATTAAGCCCCTGTCCTGGCGAATGGAGAGGAGTTTCTGTATGCCACCTATTCGTGCCATAAGAGCTCTTTTCTGCTTAAAGATGTTACCAAAAATATCTCGATTCCATGTTTGCAATTCCTTTGATAATTTTGAAAAGGCTGGTAATAATGGACTGCTATGATCCCACTTTTGAGTAACAAACTCCTTGAAATTCTCATGGGCCATCCATGTTGCTTGAAAGCGGAATGGCCTATGTAATGCTTGCAATGGAACAAATCCATTAGGAAATATAAATATGGGGTAATGGTCGGAATGAATGGCTGGTAAATGCTTCATGGCAACCTTTTCAAACCGGAGGGCCCATTACTCATTGCATAGGGCTCGATCAAGCCTACCACTCTGCCTTGTTTCCAAAGAGCGCCCACGCGCCCAAGTATGAGCAGCCCCAGAGAACTCCGCCTCAACGAGCTCCATCTCTTCAATCCAATTGTTGAACAATTTTGATCTTCTGTCCGTCTCCTTACAGGAGGTGTTTCTTTCCGAGGGAAATCTTGTGTCGTTAAAGTCACCCGCAATCATCCAGGGCTTATAATTATGTCTAGCGAAGTCCTTTAACTCCTCCCATAATTCCTTCCTCTTCGTGGGATACGGACTAGCATACACAGCCAAAAAAAACCACGGTGTTTCTCCAACTCTTGTAATTTCCATGGTGATATGTTGGTTATGTTTGAGGATCGGGTTAACTTTAACAAACTCTGTCTTCCAGTACACCCAGATTCCACCACTAAACCCCATGGCATCCACTCTTTCATGGCCATCATAGCCAATGATGTTTGCAATCTTAACTGCTTGTTCTCCACCCATGTGAGTTTCAACAAGAGTCAAAACATTCGGTTTATGAGTATGAATTAGGTCTTTCAGTGATCTAATAAAATTTGAACTACCTGCACCCTGTACGTTCCATATCATACAAGAAATTGGTAGAGAATTCGGAGCCAAATTCGGTAAGTTTTCTTCCATAGACAACGGGATTGAAGGAAGGCTTGTCATAAAAGCATTGCTATTGAGTCTTAGAAAGCGCTGCAGTTCAACTGGAATTTTCAGCGTGGCCACCAACTCCTTAGGATTCGAGATTGGTGGTAGGAAAGAATCCAGGCTCAACTCCAATATATGCGTCATTGGGGTTGTGATCATCAAATAAGGGTGTTCCAATGGGTGGCCCACGAACAGGGTTTTCTCCGGGGGGATGCTCAGAGTGATCGGTTAAGGAGTTGGAAACATGACTGATGGAAAGATCTTGCTTCAGACTTGCTTGGCTTGGCTTCTCAGATCCTTGGTATATTACTTCATTAGCTTGTGAGAAGGCTTGGTGGTTTGCTTCGAAAGAGAAAAACAAATTTTCTTTGCCTTGCCTTGTATTCGAATTAGTTATGGTAATAGGATCAATCGTGTTGATTCCCTTCTCTCTGAGTGGGCTGTTAGTTCCATTCAAATTAGGATACCCCTTTTCCGCATGATAATTTTTGGAAACAGAATTTCTTGGTTTTGGATTATGTTGACTAGATTTGATATTTTTTGTTTTATCTTTGGGAACAAAATTATCCTTAAAATTAATTTGCTTAGAGTTCTCCCTCAAATTAATTGATGGAAAATTATTTTCCTCTTTATCTTTCGAAGAGTCATCCATATCTTGCAATTCCTCATTATGTTCCTTATCATGCTCATTAGTTTCTATCTCCAATGCCGAAAATCTTGATCCTTTCCCGTGATTTTTGCGAACAGAAATATTTTGGAGATTATTCCCTTTTTCAAACCTACGTTGTTCAACTCTAGTATCGCCCTTCTCCGGACCTTTTAAGCCACCAGGAGTGGTGTTTGCAACCGCCTCTGGAATGTTAGTGCCTTTCAGTATTTTCTTTTGAGTCGGTATTTTGATAAACATCCAAGATCCAAAGTCTTCCCTTTCCTCTGGCTTTTGCATTTGTTCATGTAGAGGGTTATCATGAATGACCATCTCCTTCATTTGATCCTTAGTAGCTTATGCTTCACATTCATCAGCAACATGGCCCAATTTCCCACATTTAAAGCAGACCATTTTAATGCCTTCGTATTGAATCCTCCATATTCTACCATTCAACCAGAATTTTGACAATAGGGGTTTAGACAAATCAATCTCTACACTGAGTCTAGTGAATTGTCCTCGTTCGGCTTGTGTAGTGGTTTTATCAATACGCAAGACCTTGCCAATCTTAGATCCAACTTTGTTGAGAAAGTTGATGTCAAAGTACTCCACTGGAAGATTGGGAATGCGAACCCAGGTTGTGAGTACTTTGATAGGAGATTCATCAGGCACGAAGTTAGGCACCCACTTCCGAATGATGAGATAATTATCATCAAGCATCCATGGACCTTGCGTGAGCACGTAATTATAATATGCCTGATTAGAGAATCTAGCAATATAATAATTGCATCCTATGTCAGTGAGGGCTAATCCCCCCTTAATATTCCATTTCTTTTTTAGCCTTCTCATCAATCCCATGTATCCTATTCTGCCACTAAAGAGTTTGATGATTAGGGAATTCATCCATGGCTGCCTGAGTCTCGCCTTCTCCTCCTTTGTCAACTGAATCACAGGGCAGCGCTCATCCTTAAGGATTTCCTCTGGTATCTTCTCATCATCAGAAACGTCATCCATATCAATGTCAATTACCTCAGTTTCAGTATTGACACGTGATGTGCTATAAGTAGCACCTCGAAGCATATCCTTGAACGAATGCAAATCATCAACATTTCTGGGGATTGGACCTTCCTTGCGATTTTTCATAGTATTTCCATCTTCTACAGCATCAACTTCAGACATTTATTCATCAATTTGATTGGTGAAGATTAAATGATTGATTTTTCATTTAGGTTTTTTATTTGATCGAACGATTTGGTCATGTTCTGCAGCAGATTGTTATTCGCATCCAAACTCTTGTGGGTTTCAATGGAGAGCATTTTTTTTACAGAAGGAGTACCACTCCTTGATTACTACATGAGTACATGCGAAACCAATGAAATCTTAAAATTGTGGAGATGTGTTATAAGTTTTCTCTCTAAGAGCAAGTTAAATGGTTGTAACTAGGGACTTGCTTGCAATTTTACATATTTCCTAGCTACTAGAGCAAGAATATGCAACTAAGCTAATTTGGTTGAAAAAAACTTGCTAAAAAGATAATGTTAAAAGTTAATTAGTAATTAAGATGAAAATAATATATTAATAAATTAAATAATAAGCTAAGAGCATCTCAATTTTTTTTTTTTTTTACAAGAAGAGCATCTCTAATGGTAAGCTACAACACTTTGTTGCTTACCTTGCCAAAAGCTAGTATATTTTATAGCTACAAAGTGCTCCAATGGTTAATTGTAGCATAATGTAGTTTGGAAGAAAATAAATAAATAAATAAGTTTTTATTATACACACGTGATATTTAAGTGGATGATTTTACCTTTGAAAAATCAAGCAACGTAGCTTGTTTGAACAACGTTGCTTAATCTAGCTACATCAATTTTCCACTTCAATGGTAAGCTACATGCTTGCAATTTTAGTTAATTTGCAAACAAGTCCCTATTTGTATACCATTGAAGATACTCTAATAGCTAGCCTCTTAGAGATATTAGATATACCTTTGGTGATAGCCTCTTTGTACATATTAATATTGTCATTTTAATAAGGACAAAAGATTAATCAAAATTCGTTCCATAAAAAAAAAAATCAAAATACATTCAACAAACATATCAATATTATCATAACTAAAAATTGCCTTATTTGACATAATTTTTTTTATGAAAAATGACATAAATCAAACAAAATTTAATAATAACTTAAATAAAAACTGTCTCATATATTTAGCTCCACATAAGATAAAATATACATGCAACTTAGGATCAAAAAATTCAACCAACATTTAACAACATTAATTGAAATTGCCATACATACATCAAGTCATAATTGCCAATTTATGAGCAAATTAGATAATTTCAATCATTTTCATTATGTTATAATAATCATGATTTATAAATAAACTGAATTTAGAGATAACATTTATAACCCTACCTCATCAATGAACTCTCAACAAGCTAAAAATTAGTAGCAATCCGAAACCAATTTTCCAGGTCGATGCAAAACTTTTTTAAATTAATATTGGCATTCCTCCAAAATGGTGTATCTTTTTGTGAAAGTTGGCTTATGTGGAATTTTGGTGAAATCCCAATTTATCTCGCCATGGTATGTAAATTGATATCACATGTGATTATTGCGGTATGGAGTAGGAGTACTGTAGGGAATTTTAACTCTGCCCTGCATGTGATTCATGTTTTTAAGCATGGTGGCGATCTAAGGAAAATAAGCTAGAGAAAAAGAGTCGCCAACAAGTTTTAGGAACTTGTAAACCGTTCACGAGTGTGAAGGTTACACCCCATTCACAATCACAGGATTGCTAACTCCATAGTGGTCCGGAACCATGACTAGATGTTCGGGGATGATGGTACGAATTTGACCTAAGAGAAGCCAAACCCGCCCTAAATAGGCCTTTACTCAATTCTTTTGATATTCATGTGTGCTTTTCGATCAACATACATACATCAAGTTAATCCTAAACCTGTTTAATCTACGTTGGTTGATTATTCATGCACAATCAAATTTATTATTGGTGATCACTTGAATTTAAATCATATTAACCTAAATTAAATTATTAATTATTTTATTAGGCATGATTTCAAGTACAAATTCTCTTTAAACCTGCAAAAAAGGGCGTCGGAAAAATTATCGGCCTACGAATGTGGTTTCGATCCTTTCGGTGATGCCGTGATCAAGCAATAACAATAAATCATGAATAATCAAGCAACATATGATTAATATAACAATCATCATCATAAAAAACATTGTTAGTGCATTGTTAGTAGTAAGATCCTAGGCATGATACTAAACGGATTAATAACAAATGCTAGCATGTCACTAATAATAAAATCAAAGCGTTATCCTAAACATGATACTAGCAATCATAATAACATCCTAAACATGATACTAGAAATCATCCTAAACATGATTTCTACTCCAAAATCAAAAGAATAATTAAGTAATCGAATTACTTACTTTGATACATTAACCTTCTTGCTATCAAAATAATACACACGTTAGTAAACTTCAAAAAAGTTAAATCAATAAAGTAAATAAATCAAATATGAATTGAAATATAGATTTGGGACCAAACCCTCAGAAATAGCAACCTTTCACGTCGAGGTCAAAGGCAACGTCGAGTATGGCTTAGAGTATTCGAATCTCGCAAAGGAGGTATTGTGACTGATTTAAAAGAGTATCAAGGATGTGTTTAGGCTAAGGCTAAGAACATTGGTGTTTGAGAAGGATTGTTGATGATGACTGGAGCTAGATGGTTGTAGCTAATTGTGGCTTATGATTGATCGTTCTAGCTGATCCGAAAACAGGGAAAACGACCTCTATTTATAGAGAAAAAAGAGAGTCCAAGACAGAATAGAACAACTTTTGACGCGACGCGACAAAACTGTCATGCCGCGCTGGGAGCTGACGCGCCGCATCAGGACTATCGCTGTGTGATGGTTCTGGCGTTGCGCCCTGGTTCTAAAAGATATTAAAGTCGTACGGAGTTTGATTTCTAATGGAATTGTGTTTGCAGAAGATTTCGGGACATCTTCATATCCAACTATTTATAAGAAGTTTTATTCAATCTCGAAATTCTTTGATCTTTATCTTTTCGGGAAGGATAGATTAGAACCTTCTAGAGGATTCTAGAAGTTTCTAACTGATTTAGGATTGGAAATGTGATCATATAGGGCCTAAATAAGATAATTGGACTCCATATAACCATTGGGTCGTAGCTAAGGTGTACCTAGGCTCGGTTTAGTATTTTGGCCATAACTTATTCGTTTTAAGTCGGATTTAGGCTTATAATATATTGTTGGAAATCTCTTTTCAAAACCCATCCAACTAAGCAATAATTGTACTGAGAGTATGGACCAAAATAATTTAGTTTGGACGTTTTTATGAGTTGGACACGAAATGAATGATTTTAAGGACATGAAATAAATGATTTTGGATTAAAATATTTTAGGTAAGTTTGGAAATATGGTCAAGGCTTAAGGAAACTTCACGAGGCTCTTCAACTCTTTACCGAACTCGTTATTTAAAGATGTGAAAGGTACTTGTCACTGGGTTTGATTTTTTTTGGGAGACACAACCAGGTGTCTACAAAAGCCCCCACTTTGACTGACTTTGGAGAAACGTACGTTTTAAAAACGCTAGTCAAATTAAGTCGATAAGGACGAAGGATGATTAAGAACGTTCTGTGATCCTAAATTATCCTTTTTAATGCCGATATCTGCAGAAAGCATCAATTCCACAAATAAAGGAGTTAAGGGAAAGAAACGCGTATCTGGGTTTGCCGAGCACACGTCTCTTGGTGACGTTTTGTTGAATCAAAGTTGTTTTGATTCACTTTTAGCCATCTTCTCAAATCGGGTGACAACCTCCTCATTCTCAGGTAGCACTGTCAATGTGTCCACGCGTCTCTAAACCAAAGAGCTCTTAAAGGAATTGTCCACTTGCCTCTTAACAAGAGCTCACTTAAGGAATGTTCACTTGTCTTTGAACAACAGCTTACTCAAGGAATGTTCACTTGTCTCTGAACAAAAGAGCTTGAATGAAATGTCCACGCGTCTTTGAACAAAAGAGCTTTGAAAAGATTGTTCATGCGTCTCTAAGAAAAAGAGCTTTTTGAAAGGAAATGTCCACGCGTCTCTAAACAAAAGAGTTTTGAAAAGAATGTTCACGCGTCTCTGAACCAAAGAGCTTTTTGAAAGGAAATGTCCATGCGTCTCTGAACAAAAGAGCTTTTGAGAAATGTCCGCTCGTCTCTAGACAAAAGAGCTTTGAAAGATAAATGGTGAGAGTGTTCGATTGGCTGCGAACAGGAGCTTTGTTGAATTGGTGACGAATGGTGAGAGTGTTCGATTGGCTGCGAACAGAAGCTTCGATGAATAGGTGTATCCAGTAAAATCAAATTTTGCCAAAGGACTTTGCGGGTGGTTTTCTTGGGGTTGACCCAAGACTTGGTGTACTTGACTCATTGTGTGACTCACTGTACTCAAATTGACTCGATGTGTTTTGACACGTCATTAATTAAAGTGCTTGACTCATGTGCATAGAGTGTAGACTCAACTCGATGTGGTGACATGATATGACTCAATGTGCATGACTTGTGTGTGCATTGTGTTGTGATTATTCTCCTGCGATTCGAAAATGCAGAAAAAGCAAAAAATTTCTGTCATTTTTGTGGAGGGTACTGACTTTCTCCCAAAAAGAAAGACATGAAAATGAATGAAGGTAGGTGAAAATGAAAAGGGGTGAAGTGTCGGTAAAAAACGAAGTTTTTAAACTTCTCCAAAAGGAAAAAAAGGACGAAAAGGTCGAGTGATGATGCTTGTTGAATGAGCTTAATCAAGTGTATTCATTAATCGTTGTATCTCATGGTGCAAGGATTGTAGCATCCTAGACTATCTCAGTTGATGATGAAAATATTTGGGCAACTTAGGCTCGGAGGCTAAGTACCTCATGCTTTGTGATGCAATGATGATTATGATAATGAGTGATTCTCAAATGACAAGGCATGCTTTAGAGTTGTATCAAGATTTCATGACAACGGGTTCTTAAGGGAAGGATTATTTGGCTATGTATTTGTGATGTGTGTGAGAGAGACACTAAAGTTAGGCTGCAAAAGCTAAGGGTGTAGAAAATATTTTGAGAAGAGTCAAATGATGGTGACTCTTAGGCTAGGTAGGTTAATGAAGTAGGGATTAAGCCCCCAAGTCTAGCTCTAAATGGATAGGGATGAGTATTGGATATCCCTTGATATGATCATGCATGAATATGTGATGAATAATTATTTCGGCCACACCTCTATGTGAGGTTGACCACATATCCGTTACGAATCAGGCGGCCGAACATAGCTCTAGCCGAACCTCGCACAAGTGTGTGTACACCTCAATGAGGTCTTTTAAGGGTTGTAACGGGATTAGGCTAAAGGTTCAAGAAGAAAGGATAAAGGCTCAAGACCCAAAATAAGCCCTCAAGGTGCGCGATCTTGCATTTGAATCTTGATATTTGTATGCTTGAGGTTCTCACTTTTGAACTTGTTTTTGCTTTTGAATTTAAGATTTGTATTTGAATCTTCTTTGGATAAGTGCGGACAATTCCGATCATGCGGTCTATCACTGACTTGGCATTCATGTTTCTCAGGCACGGTACCGAGCACTCGATAAGAGACGCAATCCGAGACATATTCATATCAAAGACATTGGAACACTTGCCCTTTGCACAAGTTTATTTCAATCTGCTTTAGGAATTTTAGGACTTTGGTAAAAATCACTCAAGCTTTTGTACTTGGCTTTAAAAATTGCATAAGTTGCACACCATCCCATCTCAAGGTTAGGTAGATGTGGGTAAGAAGAAAGAAAGGTCAATCGTTAGGCGAGGCTCAAAGTGGTTTATCAAGAAAGGATTATGTAATGAATGAAAAGGGTAAAGGTGATATGATGTGGCTATAAGAGGTGCCTCAAATCATTGGTATACCTTGTGCTTAGTTTGGTATGGATTATGGAATTATTTTTTTTGCGAATGAAATGCAATGATCATATGCAGGGAAATAAATGCTCATTTTATTGAAATTGGAAAGGGTAAAAACAAACTTATGAAATAAATCTATGAAAAAGATGAAGGGTGCCTATGCTAGACTTATTGAGGGAAATGGGAAAACAAGAATAAGAAAAAGAATCATGAAATCTTGTTGTTGAAGCCCGCCTCGTGCTTTGTGTTTATCATCACTTGGCTTTCTTGTTGCTCGGAGGAACATAAAGTTAATTCGAATCAATGAGGTCTTGAATGTGATTCTTGAGGGTGAAGCATTCTTTAGTAGTGTGATCGTTACCACGATGGTATTTGCAATAGGTTTTTGGATTCCAATTAGGAGACCGTCTCTTAGGCACTTGATCTTGGATTGGACTAATGAGATCAATGAAACCTTGGCCATGGAGGTAGTCTAAAGCTTCATTATAAGTCATTCCTATTGGTGTATATTAATCAATGGTTCGTTTTACCCCTGGCTTAGGAGCATTGAGTGTTTTCTTTGATCTTTGATGGGAACCATGCACTCGCTACCTCTACTTTTCATGTTGAGACTTTGCCTTGTTTACATGCTCTTTATTGGGCCCTTACACAAGGTATGCAGTAAGTTTTGGTCTACTCAGACTCTCAGGCGTACATGTCCTTGTTAGTTTCTAATAACACAAGAAAAATCTCTAATTAATCGTTGAACGGTGAAGGATATTCAAAAGGTAGGCCATGACTTTTGAAACTATACTATCCTGTAGGTTGGACAACAAGGTACAAAGGGCACACGAGATAGCAAACGTCTCCCGAATGAGATAATAAGCCTTTTTATTTTTATTTTTTTATTCCCTTATTTATTGCTCCTTCTACCCTCTCTCTATCTTAATCATTGAAAACACATCCTCTCTTTCTATCTCTCTATCTCTCAAATATATAAGTATAATACATAGTTACTTTATAGAATACGGTCCATTATTACTTGTTTTAATTGATCGGCTACCGACTTTATAACTATAAATCTCACTTTCTATCATAATTACAGTCTATCAATTACCATATATCTAGTGACTCTCTTATATAAATAATTTCTGTACGCAACAAATAGACAAATATAATGTTCATACAATAACTCGGACAATCGGCCAAACCTGAAAACCACTTACATTGTATGAGAACATGAGATGAGCCACACCTCACACCCAAAAAAAAACCCAAGAATTATGAGGCAAACCGTATAAGAAACCGATGCTGCTTCTATTAAAAAAAACAAAAATGAAAGGTAAAAATTACTAAAATTGATGAATTAATGACGAAAAGTAAGCATTGGTAAAATACAAAAATATAGTGTAAATTTCTTGGGCTTTGTTTTGGGGTGCTCTGTGTTCATTTGCATAATTACCACCATTACCCCTCCTCTCTTTCTCTCTCTTCCTCCACCACAACCACCAACAACAACACCCACCTTTTTCAATTTCCCGACGCCGCCATTTTCTCTCTCCGATCACCATTTTTCCTCTCTTTCTCTCTCCTATTTTTCTGGGAAAGAGAGGGGAAATTGTGTTGATTTTGTTTTGATATGGGTGTAATTTCAACTTTCAAGCTGTAGCAGAGAGAAGAAGAGGAAGAGAAAGAGGGGTTTCTTTGATAATTTCTGATTTTTCTCATGGAGAAGCGCGTTTATCAACTTTGGAAAGGCAGCAATGTAAGAATTCTGCATCTTTTAAGCGTTTTGTTAGGTTATAGCTCTTCATATTTGATTTTATGTTTCATTTTTTATTTTTGTCTTTTGTTGGATTTTCTATGCTTTAATTTTCATGTAATGGTAGAAATTAGTGGGTTTGTTGTAATTTTTTTTGGGCATTTTGTTAGAATTTTGCTGATTTTTTTTATTTCTTCGATGTAAATTGGGCATGAATTTGAATTTGAATTTGAATTTGGGTGTATATTGCTTTGAATGGTATGTTAATGTTAACAATTATTGGGTTTGTTGTACTTTTTAGTGAGAAGTATGGTGGGTTTTTCTCTTTCTGTCTTTCATGAGAAATTGGATATGAACACGTGGGTTACAGTGCTGCTTAGGGTTGTAATTTTGGAGTTGGGGCTTTTGAATTTGGGGTTCTAGTGTTGCTAAATATCTTCTTAATTGGTTCGTCATGGGAATTACTAGTTTTAACAGTATAGGTAGATTTCTCGGGTGGTAGAATCTTGTCGAAGATTCAGGATTGGGGTGATACATAGTATTGGTGATGAATTAGCAAGCATATTGAAATTGCTTTAGCATTAAAAAATGTGACATATGGTGCTTTGGAGCTATATATTAATGTCGAATATTCGTTGGTCCATTTCATTGAATGGACTTGTTAAATTGCGTCTAATGAGCAATGTTGCTTTTTATCGTGTGTGTGTTTACCCTTCAGCATGGAAACACTCGACTTATTTTGGTATTTGCACAATTGCCCATTCATAGTGAAGTAGCATGCTTTTGGGAAATTGGCGACTAATTTGTTCAAATCTCCTATTTGTAGATTTTTTAATTGTCTGTTGATCTAGTGGAAGAGAGACTAGTCTGAGAAACTAGTTTCATAAATCTTTTACTCTATTGTGGTAGTTTCCGGCTTATACTCTTACGTGCCCTTGATGAACGAGGGGGTTCACACGGATAATTTTCTTTTTTCCTTAAGCAGAGGTTATTTGCTTTCAGATGTATTTGAATTTTTATTGGATTTTCTTTGAATAAAGATTTGAGTTAAGAATCTCGTTTGGTGATAGATGCCAAATATTACCTTTTTTGCCCTTATTGTTGGAATTTGGTTTATAAGTATCTATATCCTTTTCATCTATATTTATAACCTTGTTGGACTGTTTTTTTGTACTGTTAACGGAAAACTAAGAGCCTCATATATCTCTGTGATCTTTGATGGATTAGACTTCATTTTGCATGGCTACCCTAGAATTTGATCTTGAACCTAGAGTATTAAAAGTCGCGTGCAAAAATGAGCCAAGGGAGAGGATATTAATGGTATGTTTTCCTCGATATTGAATTGTAGCCACAGAAAAGAAAATGATACGGAGTACAATGACTACTGTCATTTCTGATCAGGCAAAGTCATAGACAAATATAGACTCTCGATAGAGATGATGGAGGATTGAAAAAAATGAAAACAAAGATAGCATTTTTTTTTTGGTAAAGTGATCCATATTAAATCTAATGAATTCAACGGTTCTGTCTGAAATGAAATAATAAAAGGAAAGACTTCACTTGGAGATCCTTATCTTAAGAAAAAAAAAGAAAAGAAAAAGGAAAGTAAAGAATACTACCTCCATGGATTCTGCTGTTGTTGGGTCTAATCAAGGTCTATGCATCAGTAGCCTTTATTAGTTTATATGAACTCTAGCAAAAAGTTTATTATGATCTATTCATAAAATGGTTTGCTGTACACCTTCTTTATTGTCGTGTTTCTCAGGGAACAATTTAATAAAGATAGGATTAGTATTTTTTTTTGTTTGTATAAAAGCTGTTACGTTATGTTCTCCCCACCCCCTTATTTTCCCCCTCATTTCGTTAGGGTAGAGGGGAGTATTGCTTTCCGAAGGTGTTTAATATGCTGCTTAATCTGTTTCTTCTGTGGTTGCTGTAGGCTGCCGTTTAAGTCTTATAATCTGTTTTAACATCCCTTGGTTTTAAAAGGAATTGCGTATAACTGTATAAGAAACAGGTGTTGATGTGTTGAAATGAGGATGCAAATTGTATTTATTGGCTATATTCACAATTTTTTTTACCTTTGCTGTTTGTCATTCTTTCTTTGATTTTGGGAGTGCTAAAGTAAAGGATGTTTTTTCTTTCCTTTTAAAAATTTACTTAAAACTAGTCAACTATTATATTTTTGTTTATAATATTGAACTTGGGACTGGCTACTTGCCAGTGTGGTCATGTATGTGTGCCTTATTTGAACTTTTCTATGTAGTGGAAGGAAAAATTTATGCAGGTGAGGTGAAGTCCTTGATTTGGCTAAACTGTATTAGAGTATTACAGACGTGTGCTGTTTGTTGTTTTTTCTTTTGTTTTATTACTATTTCTTGGCTACTTTATTAGTGGAATTCAGCAGCATTTTCAATTTATTGTGCATTTAGCCACCTTTATGTAGTACCCTGCGTGTCTGTTTTTTTTAAAATTTATTTTATTTTATTGTAGTGTGAGTTTTATTTGGTTAATGTTTTTAAATGTGCAATTGGCCAATGTGTCAGTTCTTTAGTTTTCCCACTTTCCCCAGCCAATCTCCTGAGTATCCTGACCCTTGAAGGACAGCTACATATTGTTTCATGTAGAGCCAATTAAGGTAATTCTAGAAATTTTCATACTGTTAATAAGCAATATGACCAAATTATAAAAATTATGCCATGTCCTTTCCCACACTTACCCTGTATCGATTATAAAAATAAAGTGCACTTCTGTTGTTTGCAACCATTGTTGCTTTTGATACTGAAACTGTTATTATCCTTTCTACATCCTCCTTTACTAGTGCTGTCTGCATCACTGGAGTCTTTGTGAGGGTCATAGCGCTTAAGGTCAAGGCTAATGCAGAAAAAGCAACCTGCAATTTTGCAGCATCATAGACAGAGACAAATTAACCAAGGAAATCTCCTTCCCTTGGATAAATTACAATGAAGAGCTTATAGGAAGCTATCAATGAGGAGCCTCTTAGTACTTAACGTCTATAAGGAAATTTGGTCCTTGGCTTTTCTTCCGGTCCCTTTCTCATTGCAAAGGGTGGCTACTTGTAGGGGTGTCTATTCGGTTTTCGGTTTGGATTTAGGCCAAATCCAATCCGATCCGAAATAAAATTCGGTTTTTAATCTTCAAATCCAATCCGATCGGAATTTCTCATCAATCCAATCCGATCCAATCCGAATTAAGATTTGGTTATTTGAATCCAATCTGAAAATCCGAATTAAAATACATTGTAAATTTTTAGGGCCTAAAGTTATTACGAAAATAAAAATGCAATTATAAAAATTTTAGTCTTGAAAACATAGTTGTACATGATTAATACATAGTTTTGAAAACATTGTTTTACATAATTTATATTAATGTACTTATCAACATAATTTTACATGATTAATATAAACAATCCTTATTTGTAAAAGCATGGTTTCATATTTCGGTTAATTCGGTTTTTTTTGGATCCAAACAAGGTCAATCCAATCTGATCCTAATATCCGAATTTTCAAAAAATTTCAATCCGATCCGATCCGATTTAAAGTTTGGATCCGATCCGAATTGATAATTCGGTTTGGATTGTATTGGATTGGATTTCGGTTTTGATCTGAATAATGGACACCCCTAGCTACTTGTAACTATTAAGACCTATTTTGAATGACCTAATTTGGGTGCGTACATTTTCTTCCTTTATATCTAGGGTAAAAATTTGTTACTAATTTTTACATTTGAATTATAACTTTCCTTCATAAATAGTAACATTTCCCAGTTTTTGGGTTGTATTGTATTTTAGTGACGCTTGATGTTTTTTTTTGAATAAGAAAGAATGCAGAGTGTGACATTTGCTGTTTTCATCCATTGGATTTCCAGTGGACTCCTTGTCCTTTACTGATATTCTCTAAATCACATATATTAGATACAAAATTTTCCTTATAGTGACCCATATTTCATTTCCATTTGCAGATTTAGACATTCATTTTATGCCTGAAGTCTTGATGCATAGGATATTTGTTGTTCTTTACTCCTCAAACTTCCCATAATTTTACTTGTTTGATACTGTTATATTTCTTCGTGTCCTTGACATACCTGTATCATTAAAATCTACAATTTTCCTGTTTCACATCCCTGTGCCCATCCCCACTCTTAATGTTTTGCATTTGTCATTTTGCTTTTTCCACGTAAAGCTAGAAGTTTTCTAACCTTTTGGTGCAACGGTGTTTGAGTTGGGAATTGGAGACTGTTGATGATGAAACTTGTGTTGGGGATACAAGGACTTTGTTGAGCTATTCTTGCTTCTATATTGGATTAAATGTGTCTTGGAATTTTACTGTATCTTTATTTTATTAATATCTAACGCGGCTTTAACTAAGGATCTCATGATAGATTTTTGAAATAACACTTTTTCTAGAAGCTTTCAGGATTCGTATTGCACATAGGATTTAGAACAAAGATGGACGTGCATCAAGTTTTGTTTTGATCTATTCCTTTTTTTTTTTTTTTTTTTTTTTTTTTTTTTTTTTGTTTTGGGTGAAATGGAAGGTAGGGAGACAAACCTACGTTTTGCGTTCTAAAATTATGATTATGCTGTTTTTTCCCTCTATGGTTTGCATATGATTCTGTGTGGTTGTAGGTATGCTATTCTTTTAGATTGCCTTTCTTCTAGCTTTTTTACTCTCTTTTGCTGATCATTTATCATTTTCTGCGTTCTCCCTTCCTATACCGTTAACGCAAATGAGTCTCACCTGAACTACATCTTGGCCGTCAAACTAGTTTGGAATAACCTATGATAGAAGCGTTTAAAAAGTGCGTGGCATACTGATGTGTTTTTATTCCAGAAAACGATCATAATAGTGGAAAAACAAAATAAGTTAATTTTTTAGGGTCCTTTACAGCTGACCTGTTTCCTCTTGGTTATATTGACACTTAACTTGGTCTGAATTGCAATGTTTTTCTCTAGTTATATCTGGATTTGTTTACTAAATGAGCTTAAATTTATTTCAAGATTTCTGGGGTAAATTGATTCAGTTGCAGCTTATTGCTTCATTAGTTTAGTTAGAGTTTGAGTTGGAGCAATATTATTGATTAGAAGATATTGCCAAGATGTCTAAATTATGAAATGTTGGAGTACATTGCGAGATGGATTCTGCCAATAGCTGCCCTAGGATTGAAGAGGAACTGATTAACTGACCATATCATGAGTTATGCTTGAAGTTTCTCTTTTCATGTCTGGCCCTGCAAGTACTGCCTGTATGGGAAAAGTTGGTGGTTGCACTGATTTAATGACTGACTCTTAATATTTGCCCTTACTTGCTCATTTCTTCTAGACCGTTTAGCTATAAGGCTCTGTTCCCTTTAGCTTAAAATTTTTATATTTTAAATGTGTTTGAATCGTAAATCAGTTTTGTTTCAATCATAAAACTGCAGCTTGATCAGCACTCAGCATGAATTAGTTTTAACAATACAAACAAAAACTTTAGACTACTAGAGAGCCAGTAAGAGTCAGTTTTAATCAGCAAAATAGTCTTAATTAGTTGAGTCAGTATAAATAAATTTCATTTTAGGAATAGTCAGTTGAAGAGAATAGGACGTAATAGGACTTATGCTTGTATCAATTTTCTTTGTGTATAACTGAGTTCTTGATTATTCTTTCTTCAGGATGATAAGAAAGATGTTTTCTGAAAGACTCCATTATTGCTTCCTTGCTTAATTAATTCAACACTGTTCTGATATCTACTGGCCCACTAGGAATTATACGTATAATTTGACCTATATCTATTTGTGACAGTGAACATATTTAGTTGCTTTGATTTAGAGAGATATTTTTCATGCTGTTTATTATGTTCCCAGCTCTCCAACATAGTCCAATCATATTCAAAAATTTGATTTTAAGAAATGCATCAGTCAGTAAAATAGTATAAGCATGCTGTGGCTGATACTCAATCACCCATTGAAGTATACAAAGGTCCTATACAAAGGATATTACTTTTGTCCAGCAGAGTAACATGTTAGTTGGATGGAGTGATAGTTGAGCTGCTTTGTTTCCCGCAAATTTGGTGCCTACGTATTAAAGCATTCTTTGTGACTAAATAAGAAATATTTTATTAAATACCAAATATAGAAATTGTAAAAGATGCTTGGGAGTTTTGGCCAAGAGGTATATTGTACAATGTGAGCTAGCATTACATGCTATAATTGATAATAAGTGAATAGAATGTAACAGAACTCCTAGCTCTAATCTGACTACTAACAGATAACGAATAGAATGAAATAAATTTCCTAGCTTGGAAATGGCTGTATTTTTGTTTCATTTTATCTGTTTTTGTAGTGGCCCCTCATAAAACCTAAGCATGGTTGCCTGTCCTCCAGAGGGATTTTGTTGGGTCACTAACCTGCTTTTCTTGCACTGATAATCTAATGTGTTTAGTTTTCCTTCTTCTTAACCCCTCCGGGAGTTAACAAAAGTATGTTCTATTACCTGGTTACTTGTGATTCCTGACTTCCTGTTTGTTTTCTAGTTGTATTTAGTGAAAATTTTAGTGTTTTAATCTTCTACTGACATTTGCAGATATTTCTTTGCGATGGACGAGTAATCCTAGGGCCAGATGCTAAATCACTACTTATCACCGTATTGCTGATCACTGTTCCAAGTGTCGTCTTTTGTATATTTGTAGCATGGCACCTCCGTCACCAATTTGCTTCATATAATGCTGGATATGCAATCATGGTGGTAGCCATTATTTTTACAATATGTGTAAGACTTTTGATGGACCTTATTTTTGGCTTTTATGTTTAATGTTTGCATATATAACTTTTACATGTTGCCCAAGTCTTCATATACTTGGTTAGATTTAATAGATTGCTTACCATCAAAAGTATGTTCTTTTTTTTTTTTTTTTTTTGCCATAGTCTTTTGCCTGTCTCATGAATGTGTGATGCACAATCCGTATTTCTTCAATTTATTTATGGCCTGTTTCTTCTATTTATAGATGCGTTACTTATGTTATATTCGTTGCTATTTATAAAAGGTATTACTTCTTCTGTTGCGTACTTCTACGAGGGATCCAGGGATTGTACCACGTAATTCACATCCACCAGAGGAAGAATTCCGTTATGACTCTTCTGTTGTTGAGACTGGTGGAAGACAAACACCAGGCCTTCAGTTTCCTCGGACAAAAGAAGTTATGGTTAATGGAATTCCAGTGAGGGTAAAGTATTGCGACACATGTATGCTTTATCGACCCCCGCGTTGCTCTCATTGCTCAATATGCAACAACTGTGTGGAGCGTTTTGACCACCATTGCCCTTGGGTTGGCCAATGTATTGGTTTGGTAATTTTTTTTCTACTGTCTTTCTACTTGGTATACTGTGCTATGTGATTAACCTTATACATGCCTAATTTGGTTACCTACTTATCTTTGATATTTTTGTTTTTCTTGCAGCGCAACTACCGGTTTTTCTTTCTCTTTGTGTCGTCAGCTACTCTACTGTGCATTTATGTGTTTGCCATTTCAGCCTTCTATATGAAGGTTCTGATGAATGACAACCATTATACTGTTTGGAAAGCAATGAAAGATTCTCCAGCATCAGTAGTCCTTATGGCTTATTGTTTTATATCTTTATGGTTTGTCGGTGGACTCACTGGCTTCCATTTGTACCTTATCAGTTCAAATCAGGTCCGTCATGTTAGCAGAGTATTTTTTTTTGGAGCAATACATTTGTGTTTCTTTTCATCCACCCTTTCCCCACCCAAATTCTTATTCTTCTTAATATATTTTGAATGTTCTAGTCACTGGTTGCTTTTATATTCTGTCATGTTAACTCTTAATGTTGTCTGTTTGAAGTGCTGCTTATTCATCCCCAAGCCCCTTCAGTTGTTAGGTGTAACCAACTAAGCTCAGTCGTACTAGTTGCATTGGCTCTGTGGGTTTTTCTTAGAGGCTATCTGTATAATTCATGGTAATGTTTAGAGATGATTATGAGAAAATATATTCTTGCTTCTATCGTTCCTTATAACTTAAACAGATATGTAGGTGAAATTTTAGATACTAGAGGAAGCACTTTTTCTTCACCTATACACGTGCATGGGTTTTGGGAAAGATATACATTGTGTTGTCTCATCTTGGTTCCTTATCTCTTTGCCAATGTTTTTTTAGTTGCTTTGAAGTCATTAACTCTATGAATATTTTTTTGGATACCTAAAACTTAGATGTTGCTCTAAAGTGTATCACAACAATTTGTTATTGGTTTACTAGACCATTTCTGGGTTATTTGTTTCTTCTATAAATAGATAATAATAAATAATAAAAAAAAAAAAAAAATGAACAACAATTTTTGTTACAAAGGGTTTGTCTTAGTGTATTTGATATTTCGGAAAGTTGTGTGTATCATGTATGATGAGGCAAATCAAAGAGTCGAGTAACAAAGTCCTTTTATTCCAATTTAATTTTCTCTTCAAGTTAATGAGTCCAATATTTTTTTTGGGGTGGGGGGGGGGGGGTGAGTGTTGAAGTGGCCTTCTTTTTAAAAACACAAGTTTCATTTTTGTTAAAGAAGCTAATAAGCATGAAAGGAACCGCTTTTAGCTGGTGTTTTGAGTTATATTTGAGCAAGAATAATTAGAAGATGATAGATAATAGGACTCCTTGCCTTTAGTCGTGATAGTGCCGTCCTGCTATTTACTTGATCGTTATGTTCATCTCCTAGTGAATGAGTTTGATGTCCTGAAGTGGATTCATTTGCATAGAAATAAGTTGATTGTGGCAACTTTGAAGGTTCTGAATTTAGAGTGAATAGTCAACTTTTGAACTACAAAGAAAGCTTATACTTGATTAGGTTGAGGGAGAAGGATTCTGTATTCAAAAATTCCACCGAATGAGGATTCTTGGTAATATGGTTGGAACAAACTGGATAATGATTAACATGTGGTACTTCATATGTCCCCATAGCACGTAACTTTCTTTCTCTCCTGATTTATTATAATTAAATAAGATTGAGGGCTCTAATGTTGGAGATTTACTCGACTTGGAGTCTTTTATTAGTGATTTGCTGATCTTTAAAATATAAAGTTCAAATGTGAGCAATTTGTCTGATTGGTTTTTTGTGATTTATCTTGTGGATCAGCTATGCCATCTGTATTTTTCGATTTTGTTTATGATGCATATATTATCTTGCATTTCTCGATATTGGTACTTCGTTTGTTTGTTTGTTCTTTCCCCCCTTATCAAATGGTCACTGCTTCTTGTCACCTGATGTACTTTAATTTATATCTCCATCAGACGACATATGAGAACTTCCGTTATAGAACTGACAGCAGGCTCAATGTCTACAATAGAGGGTGTTTCAATAATTTTGCTGAAGTGTTATTCTCAAAGATCAAACCATCAAGAAACAAGTTTCGGGCTTTTGTCGAGGAAGAGGTACCACGGCCGCCACCTCTGCGTACCACACCGGAAAATGAACCTGTGGATGATACAGGTGACCAGCGTACCAAGGTAGAAGATGACTTGGACTTTGGGGGAGATCTGCTAAAGATTTCACAGCGCCGCAATGTTGAAGATATAGAGGATACTATACGCAGCGGAGGAAATCATGTACTTCATAATAGTTCAGAGGGTGAATCTTATGTGAGTTCAGTCCGCTCGGATTATCATACTGCTCCGATTCGTGCAGATATCCGGCACTCTAGTTGGGGTAGAAGTGAGAGCTGGGAAATTGCACCTGATGTCTCAGCAAGACATGCGCATGAAGGATAATGCTGCGCTTCTAATATGAAATCGTGATTGATGGAAGTTGATATAGTTTTGTACATTTGATCTCTGGGATTTAACAATCTGACCCCCATTGGTTAGTGTCTCTTACAGCACAGCCCCTGCCCCTCAGTCTCAGCCTTGGGATTTCATCCTTCAAGTTGTATCTTATTGCATCAAGTTTTTTGACATTATATCCGAAGCAGTAGTGAATAGAATCATGTGTGAGATCTAGAAAGATATAGTTTTGACATGGTCTGTTGCCTTAACAGGGATCATATCGGCCTTGCTGGTAATTCTTTTGTAAATACGAATTTGTTGGATGAAATTTTGTAATTGGTATGCGAACTCTATGCTTTGTACCTTCTGTTTATGTTTGTGGTCGAAGCATTATTATTATTTTTATCAAAACTTTGTAGCTTCTGTGTAGCAGCAGCCACAGCCAGAAGAGTGCCATAGATTAACTAATTTGCTGTATTTGGGTGGTATAATCAAACTGGAGATACTGTGTTATCTTACTGACTTTTTAAAAAATTACAAGCATTTATTGCCACCGCGCTTTCTATCCCAGATAAACCTTGTCGGGGCCGTAATACTACCGGTGAGACGGCACTAGAAACACAATCGTGGGCATTCACCATGTATGGACATTATTTTCGAAATTTGACACAAGTCTAACACAAGCATTACAGGCTGGCTACGTGCCATCCTACTCAATTTAATTCAATTAAATTAACAAAACAATTAACGATTATTAAGGTGACATGTTGGTATGACATGTGGGCCAAATTATTTTCGGACCTGCTTATCAAACTTCGGCATGTGCTCGGCATGACACTGGGCATGGCCCGGTAAGTGCCCCACTTTAGTTATAGGGCGTCTAGAATGTATTAACAATTTGCATATAAGTCTTAGGTTGAATTTTTTTAAGCAGTTACAAAGCCTTTGTTAAGTATTTGCCACATCGTGCATTATTCTTACAGGTGAAATGGCAAATATGACATATTTTAGGTGGTCTTCTTCCACACTCCATAGAAAAAGAATAAAGGAAAAAAGAAAAAAAAATATTAAACTCTAGGTTCATAAGCTCGGGAAAAAAAATTAAAAAAAAGAAAAAAAAGAAAATACAAATACGGAATACAAAACAATCAATTCATTTGGTAAATAATAAATGATACGAATTATGAAGTATGGAGTACATAATATTGATATTCAAGTCCTATATGTGGCATTCTTTTTACGAAAAAGAGAAAAATTTATAATATATTTTTTTTGAAACAAGAAAAATTTATATTATTGATCATGAATTTATAGAGTAATTTGTTGTGAAGAACCTCAATATATTTACATGATAGTGTCCCTTTTAATTTTGCCATCCTTACCCTTAGGCCTCAGCTCACTGTCTAGGAATCGAATTTCAGACTTTTAAAATTTAAGTAAGAATCTTGTTACCAAGTGAGTCAACATTTTATTAGTGATTGTGTTTGTTTTATGTGATAAAACATATCTTGGACTCTTGGTGTTTTACCTTGTTCATTTAACCTTCTAGAATAGAAATTAAAATGGGATTTTTTGTTTTTAATACCCAAAAGGCCAAGAAATTCCCTCAAAAACGGATAGACTTTACACACAATCAATGTGTAGGGACTATACAGAATCATGCATCGAAAGAGAAGTTGCCAACTCAAAGGTTGGTTTTAGCCACGGTTCACTTAATCTGTTCAAATTCTAAGTATAGGTTTGGTTTAGGTCATTTCTCGTAGAACCTTAGGTAATAAGGGTAGACCATTTTTTGTATTGTTTCTCTAATTTGGTAAGTATTATTATTAGCGTTAGGCTTATGTCTCTATTTATTTACTTCAAAATAAACAAAGCTTAAAGTAATCCTTTATTTCCACTTGTCCAAATCTATGCCTAAAAAGGATATTAATTATTAGGTAAATAGCTAATCCTCTTTGATTTCTAGTGGACATCTATTGGTTCTTGGCCCACATAGTTGGATTGATCTATTTAGACTTCATCAATAATTATTAAAGATAAAGGTTGTATGTTGTTATGATAGAAAAACAAAAGATTAACAAATCAACAAACAAGAAAACATTTTTGTACGTGATTTGCTGATGATAAGTTAGCCACGTCGATGGATAGGTGAGTAGATAGTGTTTATTGATCGTTAAAATTGTACAAATTGTAAAATAGTGGATATATGTTAAACCCCAAAGAGCTTATATAGTACTCCCAAAACTAGTAACAGAATAGGACGAAGATAGGTCCATGAAAACAAAACCAAAAAGCCCACATAACAAATACTATCCCGTGATGGTTGTTCAAAGGGGAAAATTGATTCAATGTGTATACAGCCCCATCGCTGGCCCAGGGCAACTGGGGCGACCGCCCTGGGCCCCCCAAAAAAAAAGCCCACGTTGCTGAAATGAAGGACTGAAGTTTGAAGGCCCTAAATAAATAAAAAAAAATTAAAAAAAAAAAAAACTTTAAAGAAGCGTATTTTTCTTTCCCCTGACTTTCAAATGCAAATCCCTAAAATCATAAATTAAGATATTCAAAGAAACGATTTCTTTCCTAATATTCAGACAATCTCCTCAACTTCTTTCCCCTAATTTTCGGCCATAATATTCTCTTTCCAAAGTAATTTGATTTCTCCAAAAAAAAACGTTCAATCTTCAATCTAATCCCCAAGATGTATTTGTATACAATTTTCAATTTCAGTCAGATGAATTGGGGTTGTTTCGAGAATCGAGATTCAATTGAAGAGGAAAACGATCAAAAACGGTAATTTTGCTCATCAATTTTCAACGGGATTTTGCCTAATTATATATAATACTTGCATATACTCCTTAATTCATCAAAGTATCTCATCTATTTTTTTTTTTTTTAATTTTTATAGCTGTTTCCGAGTTGAAGAACAATCAGAAGTTGGGGAAAAAAATTGGGAAAAAAAATTCAATTAATTGGTTGAGTTTGGTTCCTTGGTGAAACAATGGCTTCCGACTTCCGAGTTTCAGATTAATTGGTTGATTTTCAACGGTAATTATATTCTTATTTGTTTGATAAATTGATTTTCCTAAAAATACTAGTGTATAACATGTACTGTATTTTCAGAATTTCAGATTTGAGATATTATTTGGAATGCAATTGTTCAAATTGAGGCATTGAGCAGAATTTGGTGTTAAATCTTCAATTATAAGGTGTTTTTGCTCTTTTTTATACTTTTATTAATTTTCATTATTTCATATAATGTTGCCTAGAAGATATTTATCTGGTAATGATAAGAGGAAAAAAACAAAAAGAGCTGAAGAGTTAATAGAATCTCAAAAGGGTTCCATTGACAAAATTTTTACTAAAATAGTACAAGTAGACAAGTCATCTCATGAATTGGGGGAAAATGAAAATCATGAATAAGCTAATGAGGACTTAAACAATGTTAATAATGCCAATGACCCGAATGAGAATGCGACTCATATGAAAGAACCAATGGATGCACCAAATGCATCCAATGTTAATAATATAGGCATTGATGAACAAATAGTCCCTCCTTTCGATTTTTATGATCCTAATAATTGGGGTAATCTTGACAATAAAGGGAGGGATATTTTAATTGAAAAAGGACCCATAAGAGACTTGAACCTTGTGTTTCCAATTGATGACAAATTAATTGAAAAAGGACCCATAAGAGACTTGAACCTTGTGTTTCCAATTGATGACAAATTAATTGAAAAAGGACCCATAAGAGACTTGAACCTTGTGTTTCCAATAGGGCCCCAATTTATATCTTTGCCTCGGGCCACTAAAATCTCAGAAACGGGGCTGTGTGTATATATTCTAACATTTCCATTTAATTTTCCATTGTTGAGCGAGAATTGGTGAGTTTACAGTTGTAAAACATACTATCTTCGTGATTGGAGTTTGGGGAGTTATTGAAAGCTCGGTAAGAAACCAATTCAAGGGGGAATTGAGGTGCTCTAGCTAATCATTTATTGTTAGAGATCAAATTGGAAACAAGTTAAATTCATAATTGCTATAAATTTGATATAATTTCTCCTCCATAGTTGTAAGAGATCAAATCAAATTGATCGATGTGACATAATATAAGTATTTAGTTGAGAATTGTCACGTAATGTTCAGGATGGATGAGGACCATGCCAAATCCGATTGAGATCTCACTAAATCGGACTCTATCCTATCTTAAACCTAATTGAGTTAGTCTAATTATTCATATATTTGGACAATTTATACCTAAATTCCTACTCGTCAGCATAAGTATTTTTCAGGGCAAGTGGCACATTTGTTAGTCAGTTTAATTACAGGTGCTTTTAATTTGCCTTTTTATTAACGTAAATTCAATTGAGGTGACAATTATTTGAGCTCTTTTAGCAAAATGTATTAACAAGTCAACCTAATTCAACGACTTAACATTCCAATCCTTTGAAAGTCCTCAAAGGTACCATAGCTAACAGATATCGAATTTGCAAAAACTACTATTTGAAAATTGCTATTCATACAAGGTATGTTTACCCTAATCGAATATGTAAGCAAAACTAGCCGAAACTAATAATACGTTGGTCAACATTCGAAAGAGCAAAACAAAATTTTGTCAAAATAAGTAGTTTTCAATTGAAGCGCCCACTAGTACGGAAAATCAACATTCAACCTTTGAACACACACTTGTAAGTAATAAAGACTACAACTTGAGATCTCATACTAAAAAGAAACCAAAAAAGGGTAAAAAAAAATACTTCATAAATAAATAATTGTGGATATAAATAAATTAATTAATATCCCATAAATAAAAAAGCAATAAGAATAATATCCAAAAATCCTAGATTCTCGAAAAGGCAAGTAGTAGCATTCCATGAGTAACACATCAAACTCTCTTCATTTATCCAATCATCATTTGTGGGGGTTTAGAGATTATTCAATTTTACAAACGTTACTATCAAAAATCTATTGATATTTTGAGGTCTTACTTTGTCCTTTCCAAGTAAAAAGCCTCTCATTCTATGTCTCTAATTTTGTTATATCATAAAATTCCATTCATATGATCTTTTTTATAGGGAGTACATACGTGTTCGGGTGTTTTTTTATATTCTTATTTTGTCGCTCTTTTTAAATATTCTGTTATATACTCTCTTATATCTTTGATACGAAGCATAAGAGTAGTTATGTATGATGCTCTTCAAGCTTGTTGCCTGAACGTTATCACGTGTTTCTCGAAATGAGAATTCCAAATTTGAGTTTTTAAGATATATAATATTATTAGTGACTTTGGACTTTTATTAAGGACTTAAAATTGTTGAAAATTATTTTTGAGTTTAATAATAGTCCAAATTTATAACATTATTTTTACAGTATTTATTGAAATTATGAAATTTCAACACTAGTTGACATCCCGCCAAAAAAAAAAAAAAAAACACTAATTGACATAAACTACTACTCAATTACAAAAGTGGAAAGCTAAACGTCGCTCTCGAATCTCTAACTAATGCCCGCAAAATAACCTAAAATGACGTAAGTAGCCTTATTATAAATATAATTATTTTTACCTAAACTTAACACTTTTACCCTACACAAAAATTTTAACCGTTCTCTCTAGTGTTCACCGGCCACCAATGATCACGTTTAACCACCAACTACCGTAATTTTCAAAATCAAACAAATAATTTAAATTTTGCAAAACCTAATTCGTTGGATCTCATGGAAGACGTCGAAAGACGGAATCACCACTAACGTTGCTCGCCGGAGGCTCGTCGGACCGTACAGAATCGGTACGATTATTTAATTGTTTTGTTTTCAAAATACCTAGGAAAACGCCCATAAATTTCGAAAAACCTAGGCAGAAACGCCTAGTTTTTTCGAACATACTAGGGAATTTCGAATTATTATTTTCTTTTTGGTTTTGAATTTCATGTATTTGTTATTATTATTATTATTTTGATTATATATTAGTTGTGTTTGTTATTATAATTACTTGTGTTTGCTATTATTATGTTGTGTATTGTTAGAATTATTATTATTATTATCATATTAGTTGTTATTATTATTAGTTGTGCGTTGTTAGAATTATTATTTTATTAGTTGTTATTATTATTAGTTGTCTCCGGCGACCACCTATCTACTAAATGGTGGCCCCACAATTGTGGATTCTAGCCGGAAAAATTGTCAAGGTAGTGCTACTCAAACTTTTTATGTTTTTATGGTAGTCTTTTCTAATTTTTTTTTTTTAAATGGTAGTTGTTCTCAAAACTCATCATTTAAATGGTAGTTTTTCGCAAAATTTCCTTATTCATATCAATATATATATGCCCAATAATTAGCTAGGCTTGAAATAGAGGATAATGCATCATCCAAACTTATTCATGTGTAGTGAACTAACAAAAATGTTGTATCGTAATTAATTTTTTTTCCTAAATTAAGGTAACAACATAGTTGTACTTCGTATATGTATTAGAAATAAAAGATACAACAAAGAAATGAAAACAATTACTAGCAGGAGGGAAGAAGTGGAGTCAAGCCCTGACCGCCGTCCGCTCTGGTCGAGCCAGCCATCTAAGATGCTATCAAGGCAAGTCCTATAGGAAATTCAATTAGAGACACAACTTGTATAAACTCCGAAACTAAAGATTCTTTATATCAATAAATTTATATACAAATATAATGTCGCATAACTCCCTCCATATGTTCATACTCAAGGTATATACGTTTTGAGAGTTTTGGTGCGCAACCTCTTTCACTTTACGTTGTTTACACATTTTAAACTTGGTGATCACTCTCAATCATTCAACACAATCAGCCAACATGAATCATTCAAGTAATCAAATATTCCAATTTAATTCTTAAATAATTAGTGACCACATCTGATTTAATGTTGAACCCTTTTAAAACTTCCTCGATGTAGAAACACCTTAAGCGCATAAAGCACCGCAAATCCTATCCCTCGGTGTGTAAACATCTTAAGTGCATGTAGGCACTGCAATATAATTTATCCCTGTGTACTAAGACACTTCATAGCTAAATTCCCATGCTTAAAAGCATCAATAAAATTTATATGCACCGTAATAAATTCTATTTTTTAATATTCCAAACCAAATTAAACATTCAGTTTAATTAAATAAGCCTTTAAACATGCCAATAATATAATAAAAGGGTGGTCCATATTTAACATTCCAAACATCATAAATTTTGACAATAATTCATTCAAATAAATCATGCCTCATAAACCAATCTTCAATTCCAATCGAATTCAACAATTCCAACCAATTCCTAGCACGATACTAACTTGGAGTCAATTAAAGTAAATCCTAGCATGATTCTACACGCTTAATAAAATTCCGCGTACGCCTACGTACCTCGAATAAGCTCTTAAAGTAGTCGTATATACTAGAACATTTCCCGAACAAGGTCTCCTACATATAGGGACAATAAAACTACATCAATTACCCTTGTATACACAATTTCCAACATCTTAAACTCACTTTAAATCACTCAAAATAATCTAAAAATTATTTTAAAACCAGTAGTTAAACTCATCTTTAATGGGTAATTACACCCTTTTCATAAAACCACAAAATTAAAGTAGCACCTTAGGCAAAATTCCAACATTATTGTTTAATCACAAACCCATTATAACTTCATCAAAAATACATCTTTATACTTAAATAATCATTAGAATTATTGGGTATACAAAAGCCCAATTTATTTTGATATTGAAACCCCAGAAATTATATGTTTAACGACACTTAATTTAAAACCCTAACTCACAATCATACCAAAATCTGAAATTTAAACAAACTATAATAATTTGAATTTATGATTAAAATCAATATAAACATAATTATAATCTTATTTAATCATACTTGAATAGTAAAAATCAAAACTAACTTCATAATTGTATACATATATGTAATAATTAAAACAAGAGGAGGAGGGAGAATTCTAGCATAGAGGGACAATAAAACTACATCAATTACCCTTGTATATACAATTTTCAACAACTTAAACTCACTTTAAATCACTCAAAATAATCTGAATAATATTTTAAAACCTTTAGTTAAACTCATCTTTAATGGGTAATTACACCCTTTTCATAAAACCACAATAGAAGTACCTTAGTCGAAATTCCAGCATTATTGTTTAATGAAAAAACCCATTATAACTTCATCAAAAATACATCTTTATACTTAGATAATCAATAGAATTATCGGGTATGCAAAATCCCCAATTTAATCTGATATTGAAACCCCAACTTTAATTTGATATTGAAACCCCAAAAATCATATGTTTAACACTTAAAACCCTAACTCACAATCATACCAAAATTTGAAATTAAAACCAACTATAATAATTTGAATAAAGGATTAAAATTAATCTAAACATACTTATAATCTCATTTAATCATACTTGAATAGTAAAAATCAAAACTAACTACATAATTGTATACATATATGTAATAATTAAAACAAGAAGGGGAGGGTGAAACAAGAGTGTCGTCGGCGGTCAGCCAGCTGAGCAGTTTTCGGCAGCTGACCGGTGGTTGTCCCGTTGGCAGCATGCGATGACAGGCATAAGGATTGCCGGATAGTAGAGGTTCACGCACCTCTTTAGGGAAGAGGATAATCCAAAGACAAAGGGGAAAGCTCGTGAAGGCGTTAATGACGCCGGTGGCGAAGCTCACGCTTGGAGGTGGCGCCAGTGATGAAATCCGACAAGGTGGTGGTCGGATTGCAAGAGGGTGGCAACTCACGGAAGGAAGCAAGAATGAGAACAAAGGAAAAAGGTGAGGAAAGAAGAAAAGGAAAAGAAAAGAAAAGGAAAGAAAAAGAAAGAAAGGTAGAATAAATTAAAACTTATGCCTTTGATTTTTAGGGATCAAAGGGTCATTTATAGTGTGGAGTATGTTATGGGATGTTTGGGCCTTATATGAAGGTTGGACATAAGATATGAATTATATGGCCCAATGTGAAAATAAGATGATTGAGTTTGAAAATGAACATGTGCTATATTTAATAGAGTACGCACTATCCAAAATTAAAACTTGTTTTATTTATAATCCAATAATTAAAATAATTTGACCTAAAATATATTTTATAGATAAACAAATAATTTATAAAATACCTTAGAAATATGGGGTATTACAGTCTATCCCCCTTAAAGGAAGTTTCGTCCTCGAAACTTAGGTACGAAAACCAGAAAAAGCTCATTTGAAAATAAATAAATGCTGGTAAATTCTGAAAATTTCCTTGATAAGTTTAGTTGCTGTATTTTTGTGATACTTAATTTCTATCTCATCTACTCTTTCCCACACAAACTAGTATGCAAAGTAATTAACTCACTAACCAACTTGCACAAACTAGTGCGTAAAGTAATAAACTTACTACCAAATTGCCACAAATTTGTATTGGAGACACAACCTTACTAACAAACTCATACGACCTAGTGTGTATGATTAGCGAATTCATTCCCAAATTTACACCTACTGTGTAATATACTGAATAAGCACTAAAAGTACTGCAATTAACGGAAAAAGCGCAAAGTTCCACCATACTCTACCCTCTTAAGGAAAACGAGTTACGACCCTGTAACTCTACTTAAATCAACGCAAACAATTCAAGGCATTCCCTTTTTCATTTAATCCTTGGTTAGACCATATTACTTTCATCTTATTGACATCCTTGTTGCGTGAACTCGCCATATAACCAATCCTTTACTCAAATCATACTAAAAGTTCATGAGTGAGAAATAATTAATAGCAATATCCTCATGGAATAAAGAATACATTAATCGTACTTACATCGTCCCATAGTAACATTTTAATAGATGAATGCTATGTATTCCTTGTGCCAAGAATCCTGACAAGTTTTCCTTGCAGGTCCACCATTGATCTAACTCAATAAATTCGAGACTATTATTGCACCACCATATATAGCATACCTATCTTTACTTGGGGTATACGAAAACACTTGTACTTTACCAAGGTCGTTGCATGGCTAGTCTATTATCCACCTTTATCAATACGTTCCCAAATCTCATATAAGCATGAATACTTTGGGCTCCGTTTCTCTTCCTATTCAAATCTCATGACTCGTATCTTGGGTGAACTTTTACAAACTCCTTATACTCAACCTTGAATACATCTTTTTTACGTTTAAATCTGTGTAACCTTTTGTTTACTCTGCACATCTCAAAGCTTTGCGTTTAACCTACTTATTTGAGGTTTAATATCCTCATCCCACTAATGTTATTCCCACATAGTGGACTTCTTCATTCTTTCCATATAACGCTTCAAAAGGTGTCATGTCTATGCTGCTAGCATAAAGATTTTTTTATTTATTATTTTTTATCTTTACAAGTTTTTCCACTGCAATTCCATGATACAATTCTCATTCCTTGAGTTATTAAGTCTATATGTCATAGA